CCCCAAAACCCCAAAACCCCAAAACCCCAAAACCCCATTGTTGTCCATGATTTTTGAAACAATTTTATATATTTTATATGAACAAAAAGAGAAATATAAAGGAAAGAGCCAAGAAGGAACAGACCCTCAGCGCCAAGGAGCGATCAAAGATCCACAGAGAGAGAAAGAAGAAGTACTATGAAGACCTTGAAAGGAGGGTGCATGAATTAGAGGAGGAGAACAGAAAGTTGAAGGCAACAATACAAATTTCCTCTAATGCCTCTCCAACTACCGACCCTTTAGCTCAACTTCATCGAGAAGAGAACTTCATGTACTGAGGCTTGCCAAAGGTAATATCACAAAACCCAGAGCAGTTCAGGATGTCTATGTTTGAGACATGTAGAGAGTCAGAAGGTCCCAATGGATCTTGCAGAGTACAAGTCCTTAAAAACTCTTTCAACAAGATCATCAACAACTGAATGTCACTAAACTACAAGGCTTCTCTTGCAATATTGAACCACTTTGATTCAAAGAAGATTTTTGAAATTGCGAGAGATAAAACCAGGAATGATCGAAGTCAGTATAAATATTATAGAGCTGACTCAAAAGACCAAGGCATGGCAAAAGAAAGCAGTGATGGTACCGATAATGAATCTAATCATCGATATATTATCGAATCATTGCTTTACAAATACCCTTTTACTGAAAGATTGATTGAACGGTGGATCAACATTTCTCCTAAAACAGAGAAATTCTGATTCACAATGAGAAAGTTAGTTAAGTCCCTAATAAGAGTACGAAACAGAATGCTTAGAACAATGAAAGAAGTTCATGAAGTATTTTTCGAATCCAAAATGTACGAAGGTTTTGATAAGCAAGATGTGGCAAACTACTATTCTCTTTGTAATGATTTCAAAGGAACCGAAGTCCTTGATCCTTTATATTTATTCCAGGTACTCTCTCTCCTCACATATAGCTCAACCCTAAATCCCCAGATGACGAGGACTACAGAAATGATGAAATCTCCTGCACAGAGAATTAATCTCCCTTATAAAAGGCTTTGATTCAATAATTATTGTTTTTCCTGGGGTTTTGGGGTTTTGGGGTTTTGGGGTTTTGGGG